CCAGCCTGGGATACCTATTTGAGACACTTGTCTCAAAGGAACAGAAAAAAAAAGAGTAAAGGCTACGGTCTTGCTAACAAGATTCTTATGAAGATAGTCCAGGGTAATTAGACATCAGCTGGGGATGATGGGAAGATGATGAACCTGATGAGTTGTAAGAGAGTGATCAGTATTGAGGTGGGGTTCTTGCTAAAACTGGATTTTATAAGAAAGGTCACAGATAGGACCAGAGAAAGTTTAGTTTGGTAGGCTGAGTCATGGTGGTGCATGGCCTATAATAAAAGGCAGAGGCAGATATCAGGAAGATCAAGATTTGAGCTAGCTGGGAAAAGTTGGTGAGATCCCTTCTCAACACACAAGCTGGGCAATGATTGTGCACCCCTGTGATCCAGCTATGCATGAGGCATATTTAGGAGGATTGCTGCCAAGGCCAGCTGGGGCAGAATAGTGCAAAGGACGGTGTGTAGCTCAAGTGGTAAAGCACCTGCTTAGCAAGGGTAAGACCCTGAGTTCAAACGCCAGTACTAGGAAGAAAGAAAGAAAAAGAAGGAAGGACATAAAAAAGGAAGGAAAAGCAAAAACAGAGAAAGAAGAGAGTTGGTTTCGTCAGGCAGAGAGTGTGTAACAGGACACAGGAAGTTCAGTGCCCAGGCCCTGTCCCCATAGCACTGATGCACGCAGCCCTGGGAAGTAGGCGGCTGCACAAGTGCAGGTGCTCATGGGCATCAGAAGCCCAGCTGGTTCTTGAGGACAGTGACCCAGCATGGGCACCGCCAGGACACGTGAAGGTGTGTCAGTATGACACATGAGCAGTGCTCTCTTGTCCCTCATAAATTGCGCTTCCCCCAGGGTTTCCTCGTAGTCTTTTATTTAGCCGGTGCCCTTGCTTTAGTCCTATCTCATTCCTGTTTTCTCTGCCTTTTACCCCTTTCCGTCCCCTGGAAACCTTTACCTCAAAACTTCATCATTCTCCATGAAGCTAATACACTATTTAAATGTCACTCTTGCTTATGAACTCTTTTGTACTTAGTAGTCATCATTTGTATTACTACTTTTCATCATTGATTTGCAAGCTTTGGTATCTTGATTAGTTTCTCTAAGTGTGGGAGAAACAGAGACAGCCACCACTCATTATCATGCAGCATTGGTAGAACACTTAGTGGATACCATAGCCGTCATGTGTGCCTTTGTCATCTGCTACGTACTGACGTCCTTCCTGTGATACTGCTTAGATTGTTACATCACTGTCACTATGTCATGGTAGATAGTAGACCTATTTTATGATGAGGAAACATATAAGATAGCTTTGCCATGGTCAGTTCATTAACTGCTCCAGACTTTTAGGTGACACTGTAGACACAAGTTAATACACGTATATGACTTCTTAGAATATTTTTTGAAACAATAATTCATAGTAAATTTGGAAATTCTGTCTGACATTTACAAAATTCTGTACTTTTTAAATGTCTTCTTTTGGTGGGCACGGGGTTTGTTTTTCATTACAGAAATCATTCCAGACTGGACAAACGTGTATCTAGAAGAACACATTTTGCTGTGTCAAGTGAAAACCCAGCCCTTGGTTCACCTTATGCTCACAACTCATCCCAGTTTGTACAGAATTGACAATCTCTCAGATGAGGAAAGATGGATTCCTTTTTTTAGTGGCTTTTTCTAGATGTTTTCTAAGCGTAATCATACTCATTCCAGTGCTGAATTGAGAAGAGGTTTGTTTGTTATCTAAAGCTTTATATTTTTATCTTTTTGCTAGTTATATGTAGAGAGATACTGGTTCAGGGAAGCTCCTGAAAATAGTACCTTTATTTAGTTTCCTAAGTCAAGTCTCTAGAACAGATGTAAGAAATAAAGAAAATGTCAAGTTGACCAGAGCAGCCTATTTATTTAAACAAATTGATCTGGAAGATGTATGGTAAGAGTGAAATGACATCTGAGTACCCTAGGTCCATGTTCAATGTAATGCTGTCTTTGAAGTAAAGGGAAAATATTTATCTGAGTTGTAATATTTTGCTTTTGATAGGAAATTTATTAAAGTCATATTATTTATTGCCATATTTATTAAAGTTAAAGCATAAAAATGTTAAATCATCATCTATTTACAGTTGTGCTCAAGTTAGTATATGTAGAGATAGGGAGTAATGTTTTGGTTAAAATCTTTCAAAATTTTTTAAAAATTTAAGATATCTTTTGTATTCATTATTTTTATCATCTTTGACAAAATATCTGACAAAAATCACCTAAGGGAAGAAAGATTTATTCTACCTCACCGTTTCAGAGGTGTCAGTCCATCATGGTGGGGAGGTGTTGTGGATCAGAGCAGTTCCCATCATGCAGCCAGGGCAGAGAAAAGGAACACAGGAACCAGCCAGGCAAGATATTCCCTTCAAGGACACCCCAGGGACCTTCTTCCTCCAACCAGGCCCCACCTCCCACCTTCACCTCCCCCCAGTAATGGCATCAAACTATGAATCAATTAAGGAGTTTTAATCCATCCAGAGAGCTCATGATGTAATCGTCTCTGCAAACACCATCTCAGACGCCCCAGAGGTGTGTTCTCTGGTCTCCTGTGTGCTTCTCAATCCAGTCAAGGTGACATTTAAGGTGTTGTATGACAGGAGAGGTTAGCACTCCCTTGACAAGGATGGAAGGGCCCTCGGCCCTGACAACACCCACATGGTGAAGACATTGCTGCCTACTTCATGGCATTTAACCATGGTTAAAAAATTTAAAGAGTTGACAGGTAAGATTAACCATCATGTAAAGGAGAAACAGGAGGTAATTTTTTTACAAATGAAAATTGTTCTTAACATTATTAATTTGTATTACAAAATAATCTTACTTATTTGATAAGTTCAATTAACTAAACTTAAATTTCCCTCTCTCTCTCTCTCTTTTTTTTTTTTTTGAGACAAGGTCTAACTGTGCATCCCAGGCTGGCCTTGAACTCTAAATCCTCCTCACCCCCTGAGTGCTAGGAGTACAGGCCCATGCCACCATACCTGGTTCAGTCTTACTTTTTTCCTCCCATTAAAAAATAGCAGCATAGCAAGTTGACATGGAATTTTAATGTTGTTGATTTTGTGTCTATAATATCGTAACTATCAGGAAGAGAGGAGGCTGCAGATGTGGCTGGGTAGTGGAGAGCCAGCTTAGCAAGTAGGATGCCCTCAGTTCAGCACCACTAAAAAAAATGAGAGACAAGTAAAGCACTCCTAATACTTTCTGAGAGAAACAGTGTTAACACGTCATTCTCTCTCCCTTCCTCCTTTTCTCCCCTCATTTGGAATTTAGATTTACAGGTCAGTTACAAATACAATGCAGAAAGTTCTCACCCCCATCATTTTACTCGGATGTGTGTGATGGTTCACACCATCGTCCATCTCCTTGGGAAGTGAGGCGAGAGGATCACCTGAGCCCACAGGTTTGGTCCACACCATCGTCCACCTCCTTGGAAAGTGAGGCGAGAGGATCATCTGAGCCCACAGACTTGAGACCAGCCTAGGCAACACAGGCAGCCCCGTGTCAAAACAAAGAAAGAATAGAAAATTTTAAAATGTTTTCAGCTGGCTTGGTGCCAAGGGAGGAGGATGGTGAGGTTCGGGCCGTCCTGGACTACATAGTGAGAGCCTATCTCAAATAAATACATCAACATAAAGTGAAGTAAATTACAAAAGCATGATACTCTTGTGAAATCCAGTAAATTCAAATCGATTGCTGTACTACTATTAACTAATTCCAGATGTTATTTGGACCTCACTGACATCATTTGTTCACGCTACAGCATTACATAGTGTTACATAGGATTGCATTTGCTTTTGAAATAATAGTTAGGATTAGAAATTAATTTGGATCTCTTGGGATTTAAGCAGCTTTGTTTTAACTTCATCTTCTTCATATTATGAATAACTGTGATTGGCCTCAGTGAGTAAGGCCCAAACTCTTGGAGGTAACAGTCCTTTACTTGCTTTTGTTCTTCCCTGTGACTCTCCTACCTGTGTCTAGCAGCTGTAATCACCTCCTCACTTCCTCTGGGAGCCCTCAGCATCAATGACAGAATCATCCCTCAGCCCCTGTTCTTCAGCTCTCCACGGAGAAACTGAGCAGAGATGGTGCTTTCCTCCTGGATGCAGGCTCTGTGAGTAGTTTGACTTCCTGACCCCCTCACTGTACCACTGTTCCTTTTTAGCATTTGGTTTCCTTCCCCATGGTATCTCTCTTCTTGAATAGACTTGTACTCTTTGCTCTACATGTATTTGTGTCAGCCATTTTCTCCCACCACTGCCTTTTTCCATACCAGGTGTCACTGTGGCAAATACTAATTGCACTGTCTCCATTGTGGTAAATGCTAGTTGTTTTTAGTCCTGTTACGATCTGTCCAATTTCTGTAAATACACACATCCTTCTGACCTTTCAAAATACTCCCAGAGGTGTGGTGCCAACACTTCCTATGAGGCATCCTCTAAAACAATTTTACTCCTATTCACAGGCACTGATGCTTTGCGCTGGGAAAAACTGTGCAGAGTTTTCTCCACCAAGTGCTAGGAATTCCAAACTATGCATCAATTCCACAGACTATGGTAAGACTTTTACTTCAGTGACTATAGACTTAAGGGACATGTCAAGTGAGGCAAAAACATGACTATCACATTTTGAAATCAGAAATCAACACTCCAAATTTCTCCCAAAAAGAAAATGTGCCACAGATGTTGCTCTTCCAAATGAAAACATTTTGTTTTGTGTGTGTGTGTGTGTGTGTGTGTGTGTGTGTGTGTGTGTGTGTTTCAATACCGGATCTTGCTGTGTTTACTGGTCTATGACCTCATGGGCTTAAATGGTCTTTCTGTGTCAGCCTCCTAAGTACCTGGGACTACATGGGCTTGCCACCATGCCAGTTGATATTATATTTTAATGACCTTCTTTTTTCCCTGTTTTTTTGAGACAGTGTCATCCTGTATGGCCAGGCTGGGCTGGAACCCACAATGCTCCTACCTCACCTCCTAATCTAAGATTGGCATTCTTAGCTAGTTATCACTGGCTTATGCCTAAGATTCTAGCTACTCAGGAGGCAGTGATCAGGAGGATGACAGTTTGCAGCCAGCCTGGGAAAATAGTTCTAGAGAACTTATTTTGAAAATACCCAATACAAAAAAGGACTGGCAGTGTGGCTCAAGTGGTAGAGTGCCTGCCTAGCAAGTGTGAGGTCTGAGTTGAAATCCCCCAGTACTGTCAAAAAAAGAGAGAATGGCATTCTTCGTGTGACTTCGCATTGACTTGTCCATCTTTTCTTATGGGTGTAAGACAGTGTTCCATATGGAGGAGAAAGCAATGAATTTAGTTAATGACCAAAAAATGAGTTTACTATAAATGATATTAGTGTTGTGAGTCTCTCTCTCTGTCTTTCTCTCTCTGTTTCTATTTCTCTCTTTTACAGTGCTGGTGCTATGCCTCACACATTGTAGGGAAGCAGTCTACCACTGAGCTACAACCACATTCTGGTGTGGCATTTTTTTGTTTTGTTCTTGGTAAATGATTTCTTAGTCTTTGGAAGGGCCTTTCCTTTTCTCTTCTCCCCTCCTTTTCTTTGGGGGTGGAGTAGAGACAGAGGATTGTATTGAAGACCTCTCACTTGCCAGGCAGGTGCTTAGCAGGGTCTTTTTTTTTTTTTTTTGGTAGGACAGGGGTTTGAATTCAGAGCTTTACGCTTATAAAGCAGGCACTCTACCACTTGAACGATACCTCCAGTCTTTGACAGGGTCTTTTAAATTGCTGTTTTGAAGTAAGAACTAAACTACTTGAAACCCTGGTTTAACCTAGCAAATGACAGGTGGTCACTTCAGTTGGATTAATATTGGTTACTTAAGATAGGAATAATGGACCTTTGTGTATCACTAGCCATGTGTCTTGGCCAAGTCACTACAAATAGTCTTGTAAAGTAAGAATGTTCTTGCTTATGAAAGAATAGTTGAAATAGTCCCTGAAGAATCTATAGCATTTGGATAGTTTTGAATTATAAAGTTCAAATCAATAATGGACAATCTTTCTTAGTGTTTTTATTTTTCAATCCCTCTTACCAGTTTGTAGCCACCTTTGGAATATGTGTTTTATTTCATCACTTTTCCATATTGGCAGGTTTTAAGTGATGGGTTCTATGTCTATATTGGTGGAGTCATTAGGTGCTTCAGCTATTTAAAAAGACTGATGTGTCAAGATTCTAGCTAGGATAATTGACACCCTGGTCACTGTCAGTTGGATCATAAGACCTGGTTTTCAGACCTTGAACAAAATTACTGGACTCAGTGAGCACGTATTTTAAGTAATGAGGAAATAAAATGTCATGTTTGTTAATAACCGCCTGAATAAATCCGTTCATTCTAAAGGTCATAAAAATGTAGAGAAGAGTTAGGACATTCTCTTAGATCACGGAGGCCCACCACCTATTTTGTGATTCAGGTTTTATTGGAACACAGCTGTGCCCATTCTCTTACATATTGTCTATGGCCACTTTAGTGTAACAGTGGCAGAGTCAAGAATTTGCAGCTGAGACGAAATGAACTCCAAGAAAAGTATTCACTATCTGGACCAACAAAACCACCAGGCAATTGATTCATAAGCATGGTAAAATTTGAGGAGTGTTATAGTCCTTATAATAGACACGTAACTTAAGCTGATTGGATACTGTTGGTTTTGTCTAACAGACAGAATTTGATACACCAGAGTCTGCCAGAACAATAGCTTTTGTCTCATGGCATAGAGAGCAGAGACCATTTTTCTTAGTACTTTATGTAATAAGGTAAGTCAAGTTCTTCATTTGTGACATACTTTGTTTGGTCTTGACAAGAACCTGTTTTGAATCAGATATATACAAAGTAATACTTATGCAAATTATGTAAATATAGAAAAGAAGAAGAAAAATAATTATTTTCAGTAGATAGTACTAATTTGTGCTTTATAAACAATTATTGGAATTACTTGTTACAAAAAAGCTTCACAGTTTGTCCCAATTCCACTATACACTTTCCCTTAAACAACACAAAGTTCACACAATCAACCAAATGTTCTCAGAGACAACCTCTAGAAGTAGCCATTTGTATAATAAATATGATGGTTATCACAGCAGGTCAAAAATCTGTGACAAATCTGCTGTTTCTTGTTTTTGGCAGTACTGAAGTTTGAACTCAGGGCTTTAGGCTTGCTGGGCAGGCACTCTATTGCTTGAGCCACACCTCCAGTCCTAGATCCACTCTTACCTTTACATTTTATCCAACAGTAAAATTACATTTTACTTGTGAGGGACGAGAGTCCAGTGAATGCACACTTCCTTCAAAACATGGTAGAAGACAGAACAGAATCTGCCTTGTCATATTAGGAATTCTTATTGCATATATAGCAAGTGAAAATGAAGAAATCGGACTTAGTATTGTTAAGGAAATCACAGCAATGCAGAATTCCTGGGAACTTGTCCTACGTTCGTGTTGTATTTAAGTTTGTGACTTAAATGTGGTGGTTGAGATGTTTTTCACTGTAATCTCAACAAACTATAGCAAACAAAGGACCACCACAGAGAATCAAACACGGACCTCTGAAATGCTGTATTTTTAAAATCAAAATATATCTACCATTTTTAAAATTTGCATGTATTTTCATTGTCTTTAAGAACAATGAGAATGATAGACTGTTTTGCAATAATTAGACTAAAAGACTTATTTCTTCTAATCAAGGATATACAACAGCTATTATGTAGGAGACCACCAAATGTGATGTCAAGATTTAAGACTTATTTCTTCTAATCAAGGATATACAACAGCTATTATGTAGGAGACCACCAAATGTGATGTCAAGATTTTGTTAACTATTACTAATATAACCCTTACATAGAAATTTTAATTTTATAAAGTAGTGTATAATTCTATAACATTAAATTCTTGTTCTCAAATTAAAATATCTATTGATCTTCAATATGCTGTGTAAAATCTTGCTTCTCTGGAATTTTACCAACAAGGTTTTTCTTCCTTTTTACAATTTATAATTTGCACTGTTTTATTCTGTTTAAAAAAAAAGACTCATTTGTAACCCATGCAAACAATCATTTGATCCGTACTAACTCATGAATTTGGCTTTCCAGTAAAGTTAATTAAAAGCTTACACACAGCGACTGGCAATCTTTCTTTTTTCTTGTGCTTGGATATGGGCTTTTTTCTAAGGTTTTAAGGTCTGCTGGGCAGACCTTTGGAGTTTCTGATTAAGGTTTTTGGTGAGATCTGAGAATTTGCATTTCTAGCAAGTTCCCAGGTTAGGCTGCTGGTCCAGGGACCTGACTGAGAATTATTGCCTCAAGGTATTGTCTGCACAGCCTCCACCTCCCCCAGTGGGTTAGGTTATTCCACCCTTGGGAGACAAGATTCAAAACAAATTTATCCTGGACCCTCCCTCTTCTGGGAGGTGGGTGCTCTAGCTGGCATCCATTTCCGAGGCCCTGGGGACAGGTCTAGCGGTCAGGCTGGCAAGGCTGTCTTGTCAAATGTTTCGGCTGGGCTTGAAAACCTAGGATCTCTTGACATAGCTGGCAGGACCAAGTTTTTCTGGGTAACCAACTGCCCAGCACATGCTGAGCCTTGTTGAGTTTTTCCTTTTGGACTATAATGAAAGCCTCTGAGGCTAGTGGGGAGCTGGTCCAGGCCAGATGTAAAGCAAGACCCCCATCTCAAGAATAACCAATATGAAAAGGACAGGCTGAGTGACTGAAGTAGGAGAGGAAATTCCCTCCTCTTCCTCTTCTGCTTGGCTGGTGTTTAGATGCAGTGGCAGGAGCTAGAGCATCATCTTGTACCACAAGCTGTGCATGGAGGATGACAGCAATTAGAAAGGACACTTGGCCCCTCATGTGGGAAAAGGTTATTACTACAGCTAGAACTTTTGTGGGAGAGAGAAAATTACAGACGAACCAAATAGTTCTATGTCCCCTGTATCAGTTATCTATTGCTGTCTAACAAGTCACCCCCAAAAAACTATCTGAAAACAGCACCTATTTGTGCTTGTGATTCTGTGGTTGGCAGCACAGGCAGGCACACCTGGACAGCTCTGCTGGTCTCACCTGAGTCCTCGGGCAGCGACAGCCATCTGATGGCACGGCCTTCCTCACATGTCTGGCCGTGGAGCTGGCTGTCAGCTGAGTCACATCTGTGTCAGGTCACCTCAGCCTTCTCCTGTGACACAAGGTTTCCCAGTAAGCAGCAAAACAGCAAGCCTAGTGCACAAGTGCTTTTCAAACCTCTGCTTTGTCACCTTTGTAATGTTTCATTGGCCAAGTCACAACAGATCTTGACCAAAACATCTTATTGGATCAATGTGGGAGGGGTGATGAATAGGTAAGGACACAGGGATAGGGATTCATGGAGGAGGGGCGCTACTACTGGAACAGCCAAGTGTGCTGTGACTATAAAAACCAACCCTGGCTAAGTAAAATTCAATGTAATCTGTCAACCTAACAATGAAGAAGAAACCTCAAGCATCTCAGTAGATGCCAACACAAAAAGTTTTTGATAAATTTTTTGCTGTTGGCACTGGGATTGAACTCAGCACTTTGCACTTGCAAAGCTGGCGCTCTACAACTCGAGCTATATCTCACCTCCAGTCCACTTTGCTCTGATTATTTTGGGGATGGGAGCTCCCAAACTATTTGCACAGGCTAGCCTTGAAGTATAAGCCTCCTGATCTTAGCCTCCCAAGTAGCTAGGATCACAGGCATGATCCACCAGTGTCTGGCTAGTATTTAATAAAATTTTAATACTGTTGTGAGAATCTCAAGCTGAGATATGGGACACTGAGGCAGTTTAGCAGGAAGCAATATTTTATTGTGCCGGCACAGACCCAGCAAACTCCTGTCCAATGGCTGAGCCCCTAGAACAAGGGGGTCTCACCTTATATATCCTTGCAAGCAGGTTACAGAAGGAAAAAGCAAAGTCTAATCCATATATGGTTATATGCAATTCCATAGGCTACTTTACCCCACTGCTACGTGACTTTCCCCCTCCCCAGTGTTATGTGACCCTCTCCACGCTCAGATTCCTCAGGTTTTACCTCTCTACTATGCCATCCCCACCTCCCTGCTACTTTATCAGAACTCAGGCCTACTGTTTTTTTCTTCTGATCCTTCTCCCTGCTCCTTATAAAAACTTCAACTCAGAATTGAAGGATACTTCCTGAACCCTGATAAAGGTTATCTATCAAATACCTATAGCAAACCTACCTTATCCTTACCAGTGAAATATTTGAGGCATTTCTATTAAGGTCAGACAGGAGAGAACTCTGCTTCCTATCACTGGTAACATTCTACCTTGTACTAGATGTCTTGGACATCATGGTAAGACGAGAAAATAAATGAAAGGATAAAAACTACAATGGAGGAGAAATTGTACTTTTATGTGCAGGGTCATATGACTGCATGGAATTCAAGGATGTCTGCAGGTACACTCACCTAAGAAGAACTCAGTGAGCTGACTGGATGAAAGGTCAATAAACACATGGGAAAGAAGGAACGACTTAAGAAGTATATCCAAGGAGGATGTAGCTCTGTGGTAGAGCACTTGCCTAGCATGTGGGAAGCACCCTGGGTTAAATCCCAAGTATTGCAAAGTCAAAACAGAACAAAAGCCAGAAATGACAATATCTAGGAGGGAAGATGGGACCCAGAGCTTTAGGCAGGTGTGTGGCTTATTACCCCCCGCCAAAAAAAAAAATGAAAAGAAGAAGGTAGGGGAGTTGGCACACCTAATAATCCTAGCACTTCAGAGGCTCAGGAAGGAGGATCAAGCGTTCAAGGCAGCTGGGGCTACACACTGAGACTCTGCCCAAGATTTCTCCCCCCACCCCAAGAAGAGGAAGAGGACAAGGAATTGGAGGAGGAGAACAACAGCAGCAACAACAAGAGATCTGAAGCAAATAAAGTAAAATCTCATCTGTTGCATCTGGATGGGGGATGCAAGTGTGTCTGCTACATTGTTTTCTTTCAAAGACTGTTTCTACCCTTCCACCTTGTGAGGAAACAGTAACAGAGTAACAGTCAGAATAAGAAAGCAAAAACAAGCACTTTGGCACACTGAAGCTCCGGGAAGTTTGATCAAGCACTTGCCAACCTGCACAACTGTGAGAAATAAATTTCTGTCAATTACAGATAACCCTCTCTAAGGCATTTTGTAACAGCAGCACAAATGGGCTGTAACACTTTTTCTCTGCTCACTTTTATCCCTCTGCCTTCTGGGTTCCAAGGCTTCTGATACAAAATCTGATGAGGGAAATTATGGTGAAGTGGGCTCTCTCCACCCCCCCACTCACACAACAGATGTTAAAAGTGCTCATGGTGCTTTAGGGAACACTTCTTTTTGTGACAGTGGCAGTTTGACAACTGCTATCGAAGGATTAGTTTGACGTCAATCACTCCAGGTTTAAAGACAAAGGAATTGAATACCTCGAGTGTAGATAGGATGAGGTCTTTAAAAGCCAAAATTTATCACAGATTTTCAGAATCCAACTGAAGAGGCCATTGAAGCATCCACTGGCTTCAGCTTCACAGGGAGAAATACCAGTCTCCATGACCCACCAAGGAAGAAACTGTTGGAGTAGGTTATTTTTTGAATTTTTTTAAAAAAAATTTGTAATGGTCTTTGGACCAATAAGACAAGCTCTGTGGCTTGTGCCAGCTGTGATTGGTTCACGTGTTCTCTGACATCACCGAGGGGCCATTGTTAGTAAGGCCAACTGCCATCCAGCAGGTATATAAGGAGTTTGCCTGGGCTGGATTTTTGTCCATACAGTGCAGGAAGCTCTTGGATGGTGACCTGCTGGACAACTACAAAGCTTGGTTGACGGATTTTGGGATTTTGCTTTTTGGTCTTTGTTTTTGTGGCCTGTTTTTGCTAATATTTTTCATTTTTATTTACCTTTTGATTTGATATTTTCTTTTATTTTTTTCTTTTGTTTCTTTTCTGTTACATTTTCTTTTTTTCTCAGGTAGTGTTTTTTGTTTTTATTCTTGGTTATTTTTCTTTTGGGCTTTTTAATTTGTTTCTTTTCTAAAATTTGGTAAAGATGCCAGATCATTCTATAGTGAGAGGTATGAGTGGCTGACAGCACAGCGCTCTCTCAGTGCCAGGTCCCCTGATGAGATCCTCAAGGCTCAGTATTGGCTCCTGAGGACCATAGGCGAAGGTTACTTTGGCCATGTGAAACTTGCCTACCACCGCCTCACGAGAACCCAGGTTGCAGTAAAACTACAGCAGAAGTGGGAGAAAGCTCCTACCTTGCGATGAAATCTCTATACTGAAGACACTGGACCACCCTAACATCATCAGACTGTTTCAGGTGATCGAAACAGTGGACCATGTCTACCTGGTCATGGAGTACGTGAGCGGAGGGCAGCTCCGCAGCATATCAAAGACGCCCAGCGCCTGTGTGAGGAGAAGGCCCGTGGCATTTTCAAGCAGATCCTGTGTGCAGTCAAATACTGTCACGACAGAGGCATTGTGCACAGAGACCTGAAAGCTGACAACATCCTGCTTGATACTGAAGGCAACGTGAAAGTCATCGACTTTGGCCTTGGCACCAGGTACTCATTGGAGAGGAGCTCACAGATTGGTGTGGTGCCTTTACACACCGGGCACCTGAAGTATTCCTGCGCCTACCCTATGATGGCCGAAAGGTGGACGTCTGGAGCCTGGGCGTCGTCCTCTACTGTATGGTGACGGGAGCCTTGCCCTTTAGAGGGGAGACTGTTATGCAGGTGCGGCGGGCAGTCCTGGAATTAAGGTATGACATACCCAGATACCTTTCTATGGGCTTGAGAAATGTCATAGTTCAGATGCTCACGAAAAACCCTAGTGAGAGGCCCACTGTAGACCACGTCGTGGGGCACCCTTGGCTAAGGCAAGGGGAGGAAGGGTCACCTAGTCCAGCTGTGGAGCGTCTGCCCAAACACCCGGACCCTGCAATCGTGGTGGCCATGCGTGACCTGGGTTACAACCCAGATGACATTCGCCAGTCTCTACTGCAGAGACGATTTGATGAGGCGATGGCCACCTACCTCATGTTGAGAGATCAAATGTGCCAGGAGTTACATTCAGAGCCCGAATTAAGCCCCAGGTGCGCCCAGAGATTGTGCCCACCCCATCCCCTGCAGACCCTTCCACCTTTGCTCCCCCCTAAGGAGGAGAGCCAGTGCACCTGGCCTTCTTCAGACCTTCACGTTGTCCTCCGATGACAAGACAGGGCACAGGGGCAGAGGAACAGCCAGCCTGCCTAATGTTCCCCTCTGCATCCTGCCAAGGAATGTCTCTACCACAAGCATCGTCCCCCAGCCTGGTCCTGCGGCTGCTCCGCCCCTGGGGAGGTAGAGAGTGGCATGTCCTCTAAGGGAATGTCCTCAGATGAACACGCCTTCACAGCGGGCAGCCCCACGATGTGGCCACAGTGCCTTCCAGCGGGAATATTCAAGGCTGGAAGAGGGTGAGGAGGAGGATTGTGAACTCTGTTTTAAGACTGTGTTGTTGTGTGCGGGGCCAAAAGTGACACCCTCACTTCCACAACTAAGTGGCTTCAGTGAAAGCTACAGACAGCTGAGAAAGGCACAGTAACAACAGAGAGCCAGAGGACCCCGTGTGCGGTGCATCCTTTCACCATAGTGTGGGTTGGACCAGGTATATCCTCAGCCAGCTGCAGGAAGGTTCAAGCAGGACTTTCAAGCTGCTGTGAGCCCAGCAAGCCCAGCAAAGGCCTCTGTCCAGCACAGGAGTGAGGAGTGAAACCATCTTTCCAGGAATGGCCATGGTCATGGGCCTCTCCTCATGGGACATGGAGGTCTCCACTAAGAAAATCACCTGGAACCAAAATGTGAGGAAAGCCTGGGAATAGACCAGGCATGTACTTTTTCAAGTGCCCTCAAGGTTTGAAATAGGCACCGAAAGTGCTGCTGCGAACGTCCATATTTCCAATCTTACGATCGTGTGCTGAAGGTCTGAAACAAGCGCCTTCCTCTGCATCCTCTCAATTGCTTCCTGGCATCAACATAGTCTGGACCTGCTCAGCTTGCATCCCTTTCCACCTGTCAGTCAGGATGCTGGTTCTCTTCACCTCCTAGTGAACAGCAGGGGGACTGTTGTCCTGGAGGAGAGCGGTGAGAGCCACGCACATAGAGGAGGGATGCAGCATCCGAATTGCCCTCATTCGGTTGGTCCTCCTAAGGACCCCATGTGCTCATGCTCAACAGGCCTGGGCAGAGCAGGGCGGAGGTTTCTACTTCTGGATGGGGACGCTGGAGTTTGAGTCACAGGTGTGGACGCTGGCCACACCTTCCCGCGCCACCAATCTACGAAATGTGGACGGAAGTCCACACAGCAGGTACTCGGGGTGGTGGAAATCCTAGAGGCCGTGGCTGAGAATGCAGTGCAGCAGCAGAACAGGAGCTGAGCATGCACAGATCCTGGGCTCCCTCTTGCACCCCAACTGAGAAAGGCAGGAATGGCTACTAGAGAGGACAGGGAGTTACTGCTGAGTGGACAGTTTCAGATTTCCTTGGCTACAGCCTAGCTCAGTGGGGAGTCCTGGCCTAGCATGCAAAGGGCCTGCGATTTTACCAACCACTGAGGGGAAAAAATGCTTTTAAAAAAGAGTTGTGGAGA